GAGGGCTAACGTAAAACATAATGTCAAGTACATATAGTACATCTTTCACACCATGTGGAGTGATATTGGCCACTGCACCTACAGAGAAAATGTGCCACATATGGACTATAGAACAGCAGGGTATTATGTCGAAAATGAAAAGGAGAGAATTCTTTATTTTAATAATTTTTCCAATACATATACATGTACATGTTCTTAAGTTGTGTATTAAGCTTGAGCTGATTCCGATCAAGCTTGGATTTTTTACAAAGTTCTGAAGTTGCTCCAAATTCGGGCCAAAGACCAAAGGCTATAGCCTTTGGTCATTGGTCAAATTTTGTCAAAAATAAAAAGGAGAGGATTCTTCATTTCTATAATATATACGTGTACTTATATTGTAAAGAAAGTTAGAGCTTATTCTGATCAAAATTAGATTTTTTTATGAATTAATTTTCCACAAGCTGTATACTACCATACATTGGAAAATTTTCATTGTTAAACTAGTGGTTGAAGTGACTCACAAAATTGTAACACATGAAATAATTTCTACAGTGAATATATTACCGGAATTATTCTAACATGCAGTGATGCATGCACAAGGCTCTTCTAAAAGCCCAAAAAAGGCCTGAAGCTCTCACCCAAAAAACTCCTTGTCAGTTTCAGAATTGTCGCGAGCAACTTCCATTGAATAGCTGTCCATCGTCATCAAGAGTTAGCAGCGTGTCCAATTTATGACACATCCAAACCTTTTTTGTGTTGAAAAAAATTTGTGGATGGGTCACGAACATAAATAAAGGACTTTGAAAAATTTCACATTAACATAAAAATTTCCCAATCTATGGTATATTCAATTAATAGCAAAAGTATAATAGCAACTCGTGCTAAAGAACAATGACAAACAAAATAAAAAACAAAATAGGATACTATAATAATATAATGCTTTACCTGTAGTTTCTGATGTAAGAGACAACAAGACATGTCAGGATGACTCTTCCCTAAACTGAGACAGTTCATGTACATAATGTAAACTGATAGTTAATTATAGTTACCTTGGTAACACTATACCATTCTCCCACCTGTAGCGCAGTTCTTGTATCACTTCATACCAAATATGAGCCATTGCTTTAAGACCTAGAGACACAATACAATATGACCTTTGATAGTGTGTGTATATATGTAGTGGAATGTACATGTACATGAATATTGAATGTACATTGTGTATGTCACACTAAGTTTATACATACCATAATCATTATGAATGTTACAGAAAGTTTCGGCTAGACGCATTGTGAGACTATTAGGAGGAGCTGACTTTAATTCACGAGTGAGAGA